TACTTGTGGAATAACTGCTCCTGTGTACTTATCTTAGGCTATTTATGAGTTATATGAGGACAGTGAACATGTATATCGTCTTCAGATTTAAAGTGAAAGCTTATTATAAGTCATCACAGTTGGCATAGTATTAAAAATGCTATTTTAGGGGTGCCTGAGGGGCTCAGTCAGTTAAGCATCTGACTTTGGTTCAGGTCATGATCTCATGGTTCATGGGTTCAAGCCCCACCTCTGGCTCTCTGCTGTCAGTGTGGAGCCTACTTCGGATCCTCTGTCTCCCTTGCTTTCTGCCCCTCTCCCACTCTCTCAAAAAAATAAACATTAAAAAATAAAATAAAATAGTTTATAAAAATGCTATTTTGGGGATGTTATTATGAATGTAGTAATTTTTCAAGGAGTATATACTCTCTAGGAATATTTAATCCAGTATTAGCACATTACCTTCTTTCTGCCCACTGTCAAAGTCAAGGTTCTTGTGTTTTTAGCTCTCCTGAGTAGTGAGATTTCTACCTTCACATGGGCCAGGTCATCCCCAACATAAAGATTCAGATAAAGAGAGCCCAGAATTTTGGATTGCTTGTGTACCCACTACCTCAGATGGATTCCTGTCTTGGATTCCTATCTCTCTCCTGTGCCTGAGGTGTCTCCCCACTAACCAAGAGGCATATCTGCATATGGGTCCTTCCCTTTATTGTCCGTATCATTTGGCTTCTCAGTCTGGCAAAGTTTCTCTTGCAGTGAATAACAGATTCTTCATTAAATATGACACTTGCATTCCTAACACGTTTTTATGTGATGATGCTGGTCCAGACACCACTCTTTGGGAATTGCTGGTCTAGAAAAACATTTTCTTTTGTTTTTTTTGTTTTAAAAAGTACTTGTATTTTTAAAAAGTGTTAGTCTTGAAATGATTTCAAATTTACTAAAGTTGTAGTAAAATACACAGAGTTCCACTATACCGTTTACTCAGATTCCCAATTGTTTATATTTCTGAACCATTTGAGAATAACACTTCTGTATCTAACCAATTCCTAGTTGTATCTGCCTAATATCAGAATGCTAACCTGTTACCAGCTCAGCTATTAACCTCTTTGTTTTCTTTTTTTAATCTACTATTTTATCTTTTGCTTTTAAAATTTGAGAAGTTATAAAAAAGGAATTTTCAATTTTGAAAATCCCCTTAAAACCTCATTTTGAGGGAGATGTTTACTACTTGTATCCAATTTTTGAATAACAGAGGGTCAAAGGTATACAGAATCTCTGGAAACCAGAACTGGTGAGTTGGAAACCACTGGTGGAGCACTCCTGCAATGTTGAGATGAACACTTGCATTTACGTGGTACTTCCTACAAGCAAATTGCTTGAGCTTTAGTTTTCTTAGTTATTTATTTCAACAACTACATGAAATATATAGGAAGCTTGATCTGTTAATTGGATTTCCTTTAGAGAAAATCTTTAGAAACAGTCTTTCTCCCATGTTGAGATGGATTTGACTTTCCAATCTTGAATTCAAGAACTATCTCTAAATATTGTTTTACAGGCAGATAGATTAAAGAAAAAAATTATTTGCCAAGAAACTTCATTGGGGCACCTGGGTGGCTCAGTCGGTTAAGTGTCTGACTTTGGCTCAGGTCATGATTTCACAGTTCGTGAGTTCGAGCCCCATGTCGGGCTCTGTGCTGATAGCTCAGAGCCTGGGGCCTACTTTGGATTCCGTATCTCCCTCTCTCTCTGCCTGTCCCTGTTCATGCTCTGTCTCTCTCAAAAACAAATAAAACATTAAAAAAAAAGAAATTTTATTAATCTACAAAATCGTCCACAGTCTTTTCTCTCACTCAGTAGTGTCAGGGTCTGATTCCAGTGAATATCACAGGCTTTGAGAAGTCTACTACAGGGACCGAGGATAATAGTTTTAATTTTTATGAAACAATTTATCTTCCTGGGATGTGATTTATTTTAGGCATGCCCCAATTTCTTTCAAGCCTTAGGCCCAAGTGTCTGTGATAATTTGCAACACTTGGTGCAATAACCTGGTGTTCTCCACATTCAGCGTAGGATTACTGCTTCTAATTTTGCAGACAGAAAACCAAGGGACATAATAAAGTGAAAAATGGCACCAGAAGTCAGCAGAATAGCTAGATTAGACTTCAATCGTTTAATTCACTATCAAGTCAGAAACTCTCTCACTTGTTAACTTCTTATTCAGTCTGATTTCCATCCCAATGCATGGGTCTCTTCATCTATTCCATGCATGAAGCTTCATTTACTTCAAAGGCTCTCCTATATAGAGGAGAAAGAATGAGTACCTGGCCTGATTGGTATTCTGCCTTGAGCTTTGTAAGGATGTTTGTTGAAGACTAATGGTTGATGTGGACTCCATGAAGAAGACTCAAACCTTGACCTGTTGTTTAAAATGATATGTTACACAATACAAACCTGATGGTTAAAACTATTAGCCATCAGAATCCATCTATTGGCCTTTAAAGCCAAATAATTTTGCATGATAATTTGCCCAATACCGACATGAGACTTTATGTTGAGGGGTATCTGCCATATGATTTTAATAACTCCTCTTATCCCTTAGTAGTCTTCTACTCCTCCTGATATGCTGATCAATTTGTCAGTATTCAGAGGCAAAAATCCATTTTAATGTTGATTCTGGTGACCTATCATCCAAAACATAAAACTCCCACTCCTCCCTAATGCCTCCTCACACTATTTCAAATAATTTAAGTGAAATAAAAATGACATCTGTTTTTACTTTCAGAAACTTACTTCTATCCCTGCTGCCCTGTCATTGATGATCACCCCTAACTGGAAGCTGACTTTGGGTTTCTCTGTATTCATGTTTTCCTTTTCCCTCTAGTGTGCTCTAAGTGAACTGTGCCCATTCAGTACCACTCCTGCGGCCCCTCCCCCCCATTATTATATTCATATAATAAGCATGAACGGATAAAGGAACAGCTGCTATAAAATTTTGCGCACATATTTATAAAGACAAAGATCAAAGATGCTGACTTTGAAGCAGATAAGGAAACAAAGGATAATATTCCCTTTCTTTATGTCCAGGGCCTCACGCTGACCGCTCTGCTGGTGGGGAAGCCACTTAAACACCACTTAAGAAATAGAGCTTTAGGCAGGAAGAATTCTCATGGAAAACAGACACATTCAACTTCTACACAGTAAGAAGATCTCCATTTGGAATGACCTGTTATTCTCCCTTATTATCGCTCAGCATTCCAAAGCAATGTGGATGAACAATAATGCTGTGGTTGTTGGGACTCATAAAAGCATTGAGCGGTTGGGGCTTGCCCAATAAAATCCAATTTAGTGCTTAGTTGAAGGGAGACTTGTAGAGTAAAATGGCATATTGCACTTTAGGATCACCCTGCTAATTCTATCTGCTCTTCTACTGATTTGACTGCTGCTGCCCTGTTGCGTTGTTGCTCTAGGCTGTGTGAATAAAGAGCTTTAGAGGAAATCATAAATACTTGATTTAATTAAGACCATTACCAACACCACGTCTAGCCTCCTTTCTCCAAGTGCCAAGGTATGGATTACTTTTGAACAAAAGTGATGCCATAAATACGTAGGGACGAAATGCAGTTCCTGTTTTGTGGTTTGTAAAAAAGAGTGCATCACAACAAGATGCCCTGTAGCAATGAAAGATTTTCTGGTCAGCAGTTTCCTTTGGAGTAGAGGTTTCCAGGGCTAGAGGCTAGGGGGATACACAGTCAAACCTTTTCACATCAGTCAAAAAAGAAAAGGAAAAAAAAAGCAGCTCTAGTTCAGCCATTTGATCCTATGCTGAGATATCCAGTGCTGTTATTTTAAAGCCACAAGCCACAGGGATTGTGCTATTTTCTGCTCCAGCTGGACAATTTTGACTTTCATGCAAATCTCTGCATTAATGTGAAGAACAATGTCAATCCTGTTCATCCACTGACCCTTGTATTTTGTTTGAAGAATTCATTATATTTATCCAGATGCTATTACTAATATTGATAATCATTGAATAGCATGAATAAATTTTATCCACTCTGGATCTTTCCTGGGGTTAAATATATTCCTTCTTTTTAATTTTTTTTTTTAATTTTTTTTTTCCAAAGTTTATTTATTTTTGGGACAGAGAGAGACAGAGCATGAACGGGCGAGGGGCAGAGAGAGAGGGAGACACAGAATCGGAAACAGGCTCCAGGCTCTGAGCCATCAGCCCAGAGCCCGACGCGGGGCTCGAACTCACGGATCGCGAGATCGTGACCTGGCTGAAGTCGGACGCTTAACCGACTGCGCCACCCAGGCACCCCTAATTTTTTTTTTTTTTTTATGGATAACTAGCTCATCCTGGTTTGCCTGGGGTTTTCCTGGTTTTAAAACTGAAATTTCTGCTGAGACACTGCTTAGTCCAGTTGGTAACTGTTTCTTTTCTCTGTTTTCAGTTCTGCACTGTGCCTTGTAAATCACCATCAGAATGTTTTTTTATATACTTTAAAGTCTTATGCCACAAGTTCTATGGCCTCAGCCAGCTCTAAAACAAAACAAATTTTGACTGGGATTGCATTGAATGTGTAGATGGTTTATATGCACAACGGAATACTACGTGGCAATGAGAAAGAATGAAATATGGCCCTTTGTAGCAACGTGGATGGAACTGGAGAGTGGGATGCTAAGTGAAATAAGTCATACAGAGAAAGACAGATACAATATGTTTTCACCCTTATGTGGATCCTGAGAAACTTAACAGAAGACCATGGGGGAGGGGAAGGAAAAAAAAAGTTAGAGAGGGAGGGAGGCAAACCAAAAAAGACTCTTAAAAACTGAGAACAATCTGAGGGTTGATGGGGGGTGGGAGGGAAGGGGTGGGTGGGTGATGGGTATTGAGGAGGACACCTTTTGATGAGCACTGGGTGTTGTATGAAAACCAATTTGACAATAAATTTCATATTAAAAAAATAAAACAAAAACAAAAAACAACCCATTGAAAATTAACAGTAGCATACCTTATCCTTGAGCACAAACGATTTCAAGAACTAAAGCTACTTCATTTTAGTTCTGCTCCTCACACTTCCATAGGAGAGAAAAGAAAAAAAAAAAAAAAAGCACAAGAAACACATTACCACATCTATTGGTAATCCTAATTATGAGTGACTTTCAAATTCTACTATTTGATTCTTCCCTTTTGGAAATTTCTTTTTGTGAAAGAGGCTAAATGTAGCTAACTTTTACTGAGTGCCTTAATATATACCAAGTACTAAGTCCTTTAAATGAATTTGCTTTTTTTAATCCCCTCAAATTCCAGTGAAGAGAGTCTAATTATGGAGTTGCACAAGATGTGTGCTACACAACTGCAGGGGGCACCAATTACATAGATGAGGTAGTTGTGCTGAAAAAGTAGATATTATTATTATTCCATTTGTTAGATGAAAAAACAGCAGCACAGAGAGATCAAATAACATGCCTATGACCAAACAGCTAGTAAGTGGTAAATAGGTTTACATTGGCAGTCTTGTTTCAGTGCTCCCAATGGGGCCTATTTCTAATAACACTTGCAATAGCAAATCCTTACTCATATTTGAAATGCATACTTACATATCTGTTGTTTCTCTGCCTTTATTTACCCAAAGCTGTCCTGAAATTGTTCCATTCGTAGAGCCTAATCCAACTACATTGCTTAACTATGTCTTTTAAAATTTATTTATTGTTTTTCTACTTCCTCATAATTATTGTTGGGCAAAATGGAACCTAAAAATATGTGTACCTTTCCTGGTTCATTATGAAAATATAACTTAAAGAACAATACTGCCCAACAGAATTTTCTGTGATGATGGAAGTGTCACATATCTACGCTGTCCAATTTTAGGAAACACTAGCCATGTGTTGCTATTGAGTACTTGAAAAGTAGCTAGTGCTGCTGAAGAACTAAATTTTAAATTTTATTTAATTTTAATTAATTTTATATTAAATTTAAATAGCTGCATGTGGCTGGGGGCTACCATATTGGGCAACATAGGTCTTAAGCCATTCACTTATTAAGGTCATCTTAATATTTATTATGAATATTATACTCATTGCTTCATTAGTTAGAAATATACCTGTCCACTGGCTCCTACATGACTATATTTAAAGGACAGGTAAGAATGGGGCAGGAAGGAGAGAGAAGTCACACCAGGGGGATCCATACTTTCAATCTCCTGTGCTTGTTTTATTCAGCAATGTTTGTAAGGGTGCAAAGATAATCACAGAGTAGATTACTTGGGGGGCCATAAAACCCATATTTAGGCATTTTTACAGGCACTGGACACAGTAGGGTTTCGAGTCATCAAGATGAAGACAAACATAAGAATCATGGCTTTATAGGAAAATTATAAAAATTACCTCTGAACTATCAATTAGCCTTCGTTATCGCCTGTCTCCTTCCCCCATCTCTCTATATTCATCCACAATTTTATGTATCACACGTGTAATAGGAATGCAGTTTGTTTTCTGCTATTTTAGTACACTTTTAACACAAGATGTATCTGAGATTTGTGATAAAAGACTCTTGGGAAATTTCTTCAAAATAAAGTCAGCTTCAAGTCATAAACTTTGACTTTTTTGACTTTGTTCCTTTGAATGATTGGGTAGAACAGAGACCCCTAAAAAAAGAAGGGGTGATTATGAAAACAAGCTGGATGACTAGTTTCTCCATTTAAGGTCTTTTCCTGGCTTTGCTTGACTACTATAGTCGCACATCATTAGTCTTGAAAAGAATGTTCACAGGGAAACTACCTTACGGTGCAAACGCATTTGGAGCAGGTGCGTGTGCTTTATTACACGCCCATGAGCACCAGTGAGGCCTTTGTTGTTGGCCACCCTTCTCCCCAGGGCTTGGCCTCTCTCCAGAGTCTCCTTTCACTTACTTTGCCAGCCAAATCTCCCTTTGCTTGCAGGAAGAAAGTATCTGTAGCGGCACTATGTGCTACTTGACTTTTAGCTTGTAGTATCAGCTGCTGCCATCAGTTCCTTCATCGGCAGTCTCACTTGTCCACTTAAAGTGAATTCGTCTGGTAGTAATGCCCGCTACAACACACAACGCTCAGTTACATTTGGATGTCAGATAAATAATGAGTACATTTTTAGTAGAAGTATGTTTCAAAATTTGTATGGAACATAATTTTTAAGTCTATCTCAAATTTTGCATGAGACATACTAAGAAATTATTTGTTGTTTATCTGAAATTCAAATTTAACTAAGCATCCTTTATTTTTATTTGCTAAATCTAGCAATCCTACATCAGGAGCATTCTCTTCATCGTAACAGCAAGGAAAGAGCTGATGCAACTCAAACTTTGTGGGAAGGCATCACAAGTCATTTGAACAGTGTGTTCACCTTTCAGAAATACCAGATATGCTCTTCTTGGAGTGACTAACACTTTAATAATGGCAATAGTCACTGAATCTGAATCTTAGCTATGACAAAAGAGTGTTGAGAGGACTAATGACTTATTGACTGGCTCTGGCCGAGCACCTCATGGAGCTTCATTTGATCACCAGAATAGAACAGCAGTTTAAAGTACAGACGGTCAATGACTAATTCAGAGCTGGGAACTTTATTTATTTATTTATTTATTTTATTTTATTTTATTTTATTTTATTTTATTTTTTGTGCTTTTTTGCTTTTCTCTCCTATGGAAGTGTGAAGAGCAGAACCAAATGAAATAGCTTTAGTTCTGGAAATCGTTTGTGCTCAAGGATAAGTCATGCTACTGTTAATTTTCAGTAGGTTGTTTTTGTTTGTTTTGTTTTGTTTTGTTTTACAGCTAGCTGAGGTGATAGAACTTGTGGCATTAGCCTTCAAAGTATAAAAACATTCTGATGGTGATTTACAACGCACAGTGAAGAACTGAAAAAAAGAGCAGAGAATGTGCCATAATAAAATTTGTATTACATAAAATCAATGATACAGACATCAATGCCATTGTTCATCATCTTGCTAATGACAGGGGGGACAGGGCCAAGAAGACAGCATCACTTTGCAGCCCACCTAGCAACTTCTGGCTCTATCAGAGGTAATACTAAACTAGAGGCGAAGCCACCACGCTCAGTCCCAAACATAGCTCTTTTATAGCTGTCTGAATTTGTTTCATCTCCCCTTTATTCTTGGATTAGTGGCTTTAAAATGGAAATGCTGGATTCATTTCAGTTATTAGACTGATGTAAGCATTGTAATTCTCTCTCTTGAATTCTTAAATGTGTTGATTGTACTCTGGGAATTTTATGGTTCTTTTAAAAATACTGAAAGTGCTTTGCTCCATTTTTCTGATGTAATTGCTTGTACTATTTAATTCCCAACTCTATTATATTTGAACTTTTGCAGAGGAATCAAAGAAACACAAAAGACATTCTAAATGATAAATTTCCATTTCTTCTTTCAAAATACAAATAAAACTAGTTTGTCATAAATTGGAGGAAAAGAAAATTGCGTTAAGGTGGAACTTATTCAGAGTCAGAAGTCTTGTTTTTTTAAAGGAAATACTCTGGTGACCAAAACAAATGGTGGTGAGTTGGTGACACAATAATAATTGGCAGTCTCTAGTGTCCAAAGCCATTTGCTTGAATTATTTATGTCTCAAAACTGACAGGAATTTCATAAAAGCAAATAAGGCAAGTCCAGCGGGTGTCGTTTACATGATGCAATCACACATCTGATTGACTGCAGGTCTCATCTGCCAGAGCTGATGCCTTAAAAACCCAGGGGAGGAGTTTATTTCAAGACAGTCCCATACCCATCAAGGTTTGATTAGTTCTTCACCAGCTTGATTCCATTGATTGTCAAAAGCAGGTTGACAGAGAAGAACAATGCAGCTACTGTTTGCTTTAAAGCACCTCAGCCCGCAGGAATTGCCACTGAATTGTACCCTTAGACTTTGAAATGATTGTTCAGTCCCCTAAAAAATACTTTCAAAAATTATCAGTAACCAACTGAATTATGATTTGTTGCTTTATAGTACCTGAAATGTGGCTGTTGCAGTCTGGCAACCTCCTTGGATGGTTTTTCAGCTTTGTCTCTGGGACTCAGCTGGTCCTTAATGTCTTCTCTCACTCCTCATTAACTTGGTTTTCTCCCACTGCAGTTTCCTTCTGGCAAGGTGGATGGAGATAGGGCCATGGTTCCATTGTACTGGCCTTTGGAGTTGGAATAGTAAGTGAGAAAAATGAAATTGCCCCAAGACAATTTACATAGTCTTCATTACAAACAGATGAGTGGCTCTTCCTACCCATTTTAATGTGAACTTTGGAGTAATGCTCATGGAGTTTATGATCCTTAAAATTTAAGTTTATCTTATATATTTTAAAAAAGAGATTTTAATGTGCAAAGAGAGCAACATATTTATGAAATTTTCATTTAAGTTTGTGTTTACTTTTGCCTTGGACATTACAACAGACTTTGGGAATTAAATGAATGACTTATAATACTCTTCAGATTTTTTGTATCTATGGAATATTTTATATTCCATATTTTTAGATATTTTGCATATTTATTTCATCAAAACTGTGGAAATAAATTGTTCAGAATATTATGGTCATTGTTCATAATTGCTAAAGTCATTGCCATGTCAGTTGATGGTCAATGACAAGTCATTTCCTTTGAATACTGCCATTTGTGACAACATGGATGAAACTTGAGGGCATTATACCAGGATAAGTCAGAGAAAGACAAATACTGTATGTTCTCACTTATACAAGGAATCTAAAAAAACAAACTCAGAGAATCAAGGAGTAGAATGCTGGTTGCCAGCAGCGGGAGGGGTGGGGGAAATGAGGAGGTGTTGGTCACAGGCTACAAGCTTCCAGCTATAAGATGAATAAATCCTGAGGATCTAATGTACACTATGGTAACCATAGTTAACAATACCGTATTGTGTACTTGAAAGTTGTTAAGAGAGTAGATCTTAAGTGTTCTTACCACACAAAAAAATGTTAATTATGTGACAGGATGGAGGATGTTAGGTAACACAATACGTAAGTGTTGCATAGTATGTGTATGAAGTCAACACATTGGATGATTTGAACTTATATGATGTTAAATGTCAATTGTATCTCAATAAAGCTGGGAAAAAAAAGTTCTGGAGATGGATGGTAGTGATGGCTGCACAACAGTGTCAGTACACTTAATGCATTCAAACTGCCCACTTAAAAACGGTTAAAATGGGAAATTTTATGTTATGTATATTTCACCACAATAAAAAAAGAAATATAAAAAATTATTTTCTTTGGACATCCATGATGTAAAATGAATTAGTGGTTGACAATTAATGGTTGAAAATGAGGATCTGCTGATAAAGGTTTCCGAAAAACAAACACTGCCCTATTCATAAGTAAAAGTTCTGGGGCAAGGCATTCAACATTTGCTCTTTGGTGGGGTTTGGGACAGTGGAGAACTCTGAAAGATGAAGGGAGAATTAGCTCATCCAAGGGCCAGTTTTAAGAGGCAAGAATGGCTGACTTGTCCCTAGAAGAGAACGCATTTGTTTCAAAAATATTCCACTGGGGGGCCTCTGGGTGGTTCAGTCGGTTAAGCTTCTGACTTCACTCAGGTCATGATCTCACGGTTCGGGAGTTTGAGCCCCACATTGGGCTCTCTGCTGTCAGCATGGAGCCTGCTTCGGGTCCTCTGACCCCTCTCTCTCTGCCCCTCCCCAACTCGCGCGCCTGTGCACTTTCTGTCTCTGTCTCTCTCTCTCTCAAAAATAAATAAACATTAAAAAAAAATTCCACTAGAGGCAAAAAGGCCTATTTCATATCCTAACCCATTTCTCTGTTCCTTCTAATTACCTTTTCCCAAGTCAGTGGTATAGTGTTTCTTCTCTTTTATGCTGAATACAAATATAAAAGTTCTCATTGTTATACACCCAGGTGTCCAGGTGTATAATTGCATCAGCAGGAAAAGAAAAGATTTCTTTTTCCAACGGGACACTTAGAATAAAAGCTAGAGCTAGAAAAGCTTTTATTAAGCAGATTATCTTTTCAGTGGTACCTAGCTTTCCTGACCTTCCTAGAATGTCCCACACTCAAGTTCCAACTGGGTAGAGGAAACTGCTTCTCCTGCCACTTCATCTACTTTAAATGTTTGTGGTCCTGGTGTGAGAGGGGAATGTCTCCAGAAATCACGCTGGGATTTGTTCAGACTTTTCAGAGCTCCCCTGTTCCAGGCACATGTGAAAAGGTTTAAGTCATGCAAATATCACGAATAAATGAGTCGTATTCATCTCCAACTCGTGTTTACAAAGATGTGCTGGACACCTGGGAAAGCAGTCAAACCTCAGTCAACACTTGACATTAAGTTTAACCTCCTCCTAAGGAAATAAGCACTTAAAATTTGCTGAGTCATCCGACTCTCACACTTTTCATGGGAACCGTGGACTAGGAGGTTTCAGATATATCCTTCCACTGGGTGTGCTCACAGTTGGAAAATATCTATTATTTTTTTACTGCTCAGCCTGGTGTTTTTGGAACATGGCTCCTTCTTGTAAACATATTAAGATACTTTAAATTCTAAGCTTTCCTTCTGTTAGCCAGTCTGCCCTTCTCATCCTCCTCCCAAGGTCTCTCAACTCCTCTTGTCTTGTTCAGAGAACAGCAAGAGATGACACACTGGTCACATTCACATCAGCAAAGGCAGGCAGATGACTATTCTTAAAAAAAGGCAAGTATTATTTCTCCTTAAAGTGGCAGGATATTTTACATCATTAGGATACTTATTAAGGAGTACCTTTAATTGCGTTGTTTTTAGGCAATTAATGAGCATTGTCTCAGCACCCACAGATAATGAATGGGTTAGTGAATGAGGATCTAGGAGACTGGACATGGTCTCTGCTATCAACGAACATATAATAGATGATCATCATAATAAATACCCAATAGAAATATGCGCAAGTGAAAAACCCTAACTACGAACCAGGAAGAACACTGACTTTTGAAACAGAGTGTTGATGTTAGTAAGGAAAAGTTTCCAAACAGCTTTATTGCTACAGAGTGAATATGAATTCATTAAATGTGATGGGAGAAGGTTACGCATATTCAGAATTTATCCATTTCTGAGCTATATCCATCAAAGAACTGACAACTGCATAACTATCTCACATTTTGGGTATGTGAGATACATTGGAGAAATTAATAATTTTTACTATGGAGAAAATACCCATCTCCTCCAGACACGCTGTACTCTACCCTTCCCTAATTTGTTCTGTTTGCTTTGGCAGACTTAATAGTATCTTTGCAGTATTTTGCAAGGGAGAGTGCCTGGGGAGAGGACAACCCCCCCCCCTTTTCCCTCTTACTACTAGATAGCAGCTCATTCAAGAAATGTGAAAAAATGGTATAGCTGAATTGTAGACCGAGGTACCACTATACAGATTCTAGCATAAATATATGTTAGCAGAGAGTAAAGAAAGTTGGTTGACAGAGAATGTTCCAATTACTTTGGTGGAGGTATGAGGATTTTGCTGAGTAAAGACAATATTCTATTCCTCATTTTTTTTTTTTCTTTAGAGGATAAAGTGTAGTTAAATCAATATCAGAAGAATATAGTTGGAGATTACAGAGAGGAAAAAATCTGGATGCCTTAAAGATGTTACATTTCTTTAAGCTACTATGGGTTTGTGAACTGTAGTCACTTCTTGTGCCATATTTTATTGTGAAATGTTACAGGAGATATGATTGATTTAAACTTTGGTTGTATATTATTTCAAAATGTTAGATTAAATCACAAGTAACAAGTGAGTAATAAGGATAACAATTTGCTTTCATTTGACCTGTGTTAAATTCCTGAGATTTAATTTGAATTTTTAAAAACAAGTAGTTATTTCTAAAACCAGCTTCTATGAACAAGTCATGGATAATGCTAAAACATAGTGGTGAAGCTGAGGGTTTGCTTCAACTGGTAAGTAAGATGGCATATTCAGTGCCCCATACTTAATGTAGTCCTACCTTAAGATCTGCTATAGATGGGATGCTTACATTCCCCCCAAATTCATATGTTGAAGTCCTAACCTTCATTGTGGTAGTTATGGGAGGTGAAGGTTTGGGCAAGTAAGTAGGTCCTAAGATAAGAGCCCTCATGAATGGTATTGGTACCTTTATCAAAGAGACCCCACAGAGTTCCCCGGTCCTCCTAACATGTGAGGTTATAGAGAGAAGATGGTTGTCTCAGAACCAGGAAGCAAGTTCTCAAACACTGAATGTGCCAGTGCTTTGATCTTGGACTATCCAGAATCCAGAGCTATGAGAAAAAATTCCGTTTTTTAGTTCTAAACTACCCAGTCTTTTCTCTCTCTCCGTCTCTCTCTGCCCATCCCCTGCATTTGCTCACACACATTCTGTTCTGTCTCTCTCTCAAAATAAATGAACTGAAAAAACAAACTACCCAGTCTATGGTATTTTGTTATAGCAGCACGAACAGACTTAGTTTCTTTTTCTAGTTGGATTTCACGTGGAGTAGCTACAAGTTGATATAAATGCTTTTGTGTCAATAAGCAGAAGGATTCTGAGGTTGAGGCAAGCAAACCTATTTTTCTGAGTAGCACATAGCCAATTCAGGTAGCATTGGTTTTGCTAATATGAGCCATGTAAATAAAAATAGGTAATAATATTTTCTTATAAGTATATAGACATTTCCAAAGTACCTCCTATCCAATTTTCACATAAGTTATTTCATCATGTACAATATTCTTGGGAAGAAGGGATATCAATGTCACTATTTACTAAATAGGAAAAGTTATGGGCTCTAAGAATTCAATTCACTAAGAAAACAATTTTCCTAAAACCAATTTGCTGAAAGCTGATTTCCCAATAAGCCGAATCACTAAATGATAATTCAGTAACAAAAATTTGAATTTAATAATAAGAATAATATGTTCATGGCCATTAAATGAATTTTAAAAAAGTTTCTTAAGACATATTTGGTAAACTAGTGAATTTTATGAATTTTTCATTTGGCAAATTGATTGTTTAGTACTTTGGCTTGCTTTCAAACTGACAAATTCATTCATTTAATACTAAAATAATGCATTTAATGAGCACATACTGTATGTCAGGGATTGGATGTTTCCTACTGAATGAGGTAGTAGTACATACATTATAGTTAGTGGAACAGAGAGTCGAGAACATTGTCACAGAACAGTGTG